TATATATATATATATATATACATATCTATATCTTTTTTGTTTTAGAGTTTCGAAGAAGCAATTGGCTGTCTGTGTTTCTATTGTATAATTCGTTTAGTGATTTCGCAAAGAAATTTTCTACCGAAGCACGAACAACGTACTCGATGCGAGAGGTGTACATCGTCCGGAACGTAGAATACAAAGATGGAGGAAAACCATAATTAGATTCAGTCGAATAAATTACGAATCATCGTCTCTTATCAGCACGCGACGATTCACGTCTTCTGCATTTTCTTTCACGCTCGTTTTAGAAGCAATTTTCCGATCACGGGGATCAATGGAAAAATACACAGAATCGTTCAAACATAAAGTTCTCCAAAAATATAATTCCCCTTCCTCGCTCTCATCACTTTCGACGAGATTAAACAATCCGTCGTCCGACGCGGAGTCGTAAAATCGCCTAATTTTTCGTCCAATATCGTAATCTCGATTTCCCTTTCGCCTCCATTTCGCTAGTTCTTCGTCATATCGACTGGCTTCGGCTCTCAGCCAAATGTTCTTCGAAGCAAACGCAAAACGATGTAATATATTAGCAATGCCCCTGAATCGAATAATTCGCAAACTTCGTAGCGGCTAATGCGTACCCTAAACGCGCGTTTCTAATTTCTCCCTCTCTCTCGCTACTTTCCTCTGGAACAATTCTCTTCGTTTCCTCGCTTCGTTCGCTGCCTTACACGAGACACAGACCTATTCGATAAGCTGATCGTTCGACTAATCCTTTGATCGCCAAGTTCTGTCAAGAATTTATCGCAGTTACTCGCGAATTTCGAGAACCGATTCTATTTCTACTACGAGTTTGATTGTAAATCAAGCAGAGTCCGAATAAATGGAGAAAGAGGAACAACGCTATCGTCTATATTTCGAGATTCGATGGAACAGAGCCTGCCACGGGAAACATTACACGCGCAAAGGGTTAACAAACGATCAGGCTAACCGCCCAACAGGATTGAAAAACGATGAACGTCCAAAGCACTAAAAAGCACAGGCGACAGACGCGCATACATCGACGAATGTCTCACGAGTGTGTAAAGTGTATCATATTAAAATACAGCTCTTAATTCTTCGACATTTTCTCCCGCTAATTTCATCTTTCTCCCCTCCTATATCTCTCTTCTCTCGCGTTTTACTTTTATTTTGCGTCGTCGCTCTTCTCCCTGTCTCACGTACCCCTCTTCTATCGCTTTAATATTAATAATTAACGTTACTTTTTGTTCTCTTAACCCGCCGGTTTTTCATCGTCAAATCGTCTAAAAATATGTCCTATGTATTCTTATTATTCTCCCCATTCGCTCCCAGACTCTCTCCCCTTTTCATCCGTCGTTATTATATCCCCACGATCTCTCTCATTCGATATTCATATTTCCGAGCAAACAACGAGATATATCGCGCATTTCGTTCCAGACAAATATTACCGACACACATGCACACATCGTAAATCGCTTGTACGTACAGTTTGCCTACGCCTAGGTGTGTATTTGCAGAGTGAAACACGGACGGTAGTGCCTAAGAGAAGCTCGCCCAAGATCCGAGAATCTCGCGTGCCGAGAGAACGGTGCGTTTCGATCATTCTTTCGCATTTTCCTTCACCCCTTTCCCTTTTTCCCAGACACGTACGAAAATCGAGATGTCTCGTATACTACCTGACGCATCTCAGCTCGATATTTCCTCTTCTCCTATCCGTGGTACCACGCGTACCGCTTTATTTCTACTTCAAATCGTTGTTCGTCGATGCTAACCAGGAAGACCTCTTCCACATGGCGTGTCTTCGCGTCTCCGAGAACGATTCTCTCTCTCTCTCTCTCTCTCTCTCCCTCTCTCTCTCTCTCTCTCTCCCCTTCTCTCTCTCTCGGAAAAAAAAAAGAATCAAGTCGTTGATTACCGATCGTCACGTCTTCTCCCTCTTTTCCCGCCACCTTCCCTCTCTCTCGCTCTCTCTCTCTCTCTCTTTCTCTCTCCGTTCACCCGATGCACTTGTTCGAAACCTCGGCACAGCCTCTTCGGAAACTACGGGCATTTCCGTGGCCTAGCACCGCCTCCTTCAACAGTTCCTTCTCGTCACCCTGATCCCTGGACTCCGTTCGAGTTCCGAAAGGCGATCGACGCGAGCACCAGTGTCGTCGTTCCCTCTTGGAACCTCGCTCCTTCTTCGCGTCGTGAAAGGGGCAACCGGGCCTCTGGCCGTGGGTTTCGAAAAAACGGAAACCCGTGAAAAACGGCCGGCGAACGTGACACACGAAGATCGACACCGATCGCCGGTCTTAAACCTCCGGCGTGCTACTGGCACCGAGTTCTCGTCAGTTAGGAACGCCTCGTCACGCTTTGTCCCGGTTTACGACGCTAGATTCAGGCCTGTGCTTCATGAGATACCATCGAAGTCGGCCGGGACCCTTTCACAAATAGTCGTTGTCCACCGCCTGCGCGTCCTGCGACTTCAGGGTGGCCATTTCTTCCACGGTGCCCTCTTCCGCTTCCTGCTCCTCCACGAAGTTGATACTCCCGGCCTTGTACCACACCACTATGTCCACCACGAACGCGAGAATCAGGATTCCGCCGGTGGTACCTGGCGATTCGTGCAGAGTTAATCCGATGGGAATCTAAGAACGCGACGAGACCGAATTTCTTCGCGTGGAAACGAGATTCGTGTGAGTGATCACGAAGACGGATAAATTCGCGAGAAATTCAGCCTCGACGCGTAATGGCGGGGAATAGCGTGCAGTAGCCAGAGTCGGAGAATCGAGATGCAGATATTTCCGACTCCTCCTCGCCGCAGATTTCTTCCTAACCGCGTACGTACCATGATAGAACATTCTAAAGACATTCGAGTCGTAAAGCCAGCAGGCACCTCGCTCGCCGCAAGAGTATTCCCATACGAGACAAGCGGAGTCCACCACAGCACCATAAACGATTGGACACGGGACGTTACCTGGAACCAACCGACCAACGGATCATTCGTCTGATAAATTCATTTCTGAAATCCTCGCGGAATCGCCGGGATTCTCGTGCTTTTCAAGGCGATCGAGCGAGAGCACAATGGACGATTAAGATGGCCGTAATGGCGTTTAATTTATCCCGGAGAGAAGGTATAACGATTTAAAGGAAGGAGCAGGTTGATAATTACCGAACAGGCCGATGGCGAATTGTATGAGCCCCAAAGCCATCGCCTTGTCCCGTGGATCCACGCACCGTAGGATCAACAGCATGGAACCCACCTCGCTGGTCGAGTGGATGAAAACGAACACCGAGAACAGGACCATATAAACCCAAAAGTTACTGCACTCGAGCTCGCAGTAACCGATCGTCGCGGTGCTGGCCGTTTCCGGTGTCGTTAGGTTCGACCCGATGCACTGGCAGTTGTAAAACTGAAAAGCCGCGAAACCAGCGTTGTTAAGGTGCGCCGAGTATGCAGATTTCAAGCGGAAATTAAACCTCTTCTAGTACCATAAATACGGGATAAAGGGGAATTCTTTCGAATGGTTTCGTGCGTTTCGCCGCGGTGATAATCGCTCGATCGACATTTCGCGATAAAGGTATGGAAGCAAGTAGTACGGTGAAAGTAGCGGATACGAGACGCGAGGATGGCTGGCGGGAGCCGAGTCGAATTTCGGAACGACCCTGCGCGTGTTTGGCCACCTGATTGCGCAAGCAATCGGATCGGTCCGCGCGCGAAATCCGTACAACTGGAAATGAAACGCTGACGGCGAGGCACGTTTCAATTGCGAAAGTAATGACTTGCGCCGTTGCGCAATCAATGAAGCATTGTTTCGTCCGGGCGAATAATGCGATTTCGTCCGTAAATGGTAGAACAACGAAACATTTCTGGCCTAGTTGCATGCTACTGTCACCGACAATTACGACCGCGGCTGTTTCCCGATGCATCGGGCTATATATCAATATTCCCCCGCGGTGACGTCACTGGCTGTGCACAATCAGGGGAATGCAATCAACGCGCGGAATAGCGAAGAAGTTATTCGATTGGAATCGCGACGGCGCAACGGCGCAACGGCGTAACGAGACGGTGAGATCGCCGCTTACACCGGTTCTTACCACGTTCCCCGATTGTTAGGATCGATCGTATAATTAATTGCTTCGTATTCTCCGCTTAAGTATCTTTAGTTAATTCTATTTAACTGCCTCGGTTCGCCATCTTTTACGCTCTCCTCTAATAGCTCCGTAAAACTGTCGATAACGATTAGTTTCCGTTCTTACTCACCGAGGCTACCTTCCCATCCACCACCGTGTAATTGGAGCAGCCCGCGTGACACGCGGAAAAATACGTCTTGCCGTCCACACCGCAGATCGGACTGAACTTCTTCCGGACGCAGTCGCAGGTAGCCTCGCAGGTCGGCTCGAAGCTGGACAATCTGCAAGCATTTCCGCCCTTCGTTCAACCTTCCTTCCATTTTCCACGAATCCAGCTTTTGTCCCCCCCCCCCCCCCGACGTTTTCCGCTTTCAACGTGCCACGCGGCGTAATTTAGACGCGGGTACAGTTAGCGCAGAGCGCGCAAAGCGGAAAACGCTGAAACGCAGGGGACGAGAATCGGTGGGAATTTCAGGGGGGACGAAATCTTACCCGTTGGAATGCGAAACGAGACCAGCGAAATCGTCCATCGGGCAACCGATGAACATCAGCACACCCATGCCGATCGCGTACACTACGGCTGTGAAGGCGATCCAGGCTGCGACGAACCTGGCGTTAGGCTTTGCCCTCAGGATAAACACTCCGCTAATTATAATACCCAGACCCATTACTAAAATACCACCGACACCTGCGAACAAAAGAACAAGGCCAAGCGTCAACGGCAGCTCCTCGCCTGTCGCGATCGATTTTCTCTCGTCCCTTCGAATCCCGTCGACGATATCTCCACTGCGATCGGGAAAATAATTTTCCTGCGCATCGGAGGACGTCGACGGAGGGAAAGAATGGAGCGAGAGAGGGCCTCGATCGAGGGAAGTTAACGAGAAAGGCAGTATTCGGGGCCAGAAGCTCCCCTCGCGTGTCTATTCGCGAAAATTACCTGAGATCATGTTCGCATGATGAGCTGGCAAGCGAAATTGGCTCTCGAGGTACTTTGGCAGGAAGGTGTAGAGGCCGGCGATCGGTAGGATGTGCAGCACGCTGCTGGCCGTCCGGAACATAAGAATGTCGTTCTTCAACAGCCTCTTCACCGCTTTAGGGAAGTCTGCAACAGGTAGAGAGAAGGCGAGGTGTAGCGAGTGCACCGAGTCGTGCAGGCGACGCGAGCCGCGCATCGCGACCTGCAGCCAAACCATTTACATGAAATTTATCCCTCCAACCGTCTTTTTCGCCTCTCGACCGTTCGCGTGCGCGATCGTCCCTCTTGGAAATCGGCGTAGAAATCGGCAGAGATCGGTGGAAATTCCGGTACAGTTTAAATCACGCGTACGCGCGTTTCGTTTCTCTTCCCTGTGTAACTCACGATCGAGAGACCAGTGGGAATCCGACGCATTCGCCGATTCCCAGATATTTATGAACTCGATTACGAACGACGAGCTAATTAGCCCACCGATCGAGTTTCCCTTCGTTCTATTTTCGCGTGGAGACGACGCGGATGAACACGCGGGAGAGTAGAAGAGGACAGGCTGCAACCGCCTCGAGGTCGAAAAACGAGAAACGGATGAGAAAAAGGAAGCGCAACGTCGATACTAGCAGCGACGCGGGAAAAACGAGGATCGATGTTCGGGTATAGGGAACGATAAAGGTTTCGCGAGACGCGCCGGGATCTTTCGAAAGATCCCGATAAGAACCGTGCCGGGCCATTTTCTTCCTCTCCTTTATCTCGCCTCCTTCGACGTTCCCTTGACGTTTCAGCCTCAAACGGACGAGTTTCTTATTTTGCAACCGGTAATCGGATATACCGTCGATCCAGCCAGTCCAGCCTTCGCCAACGAGCTTGTATCTTCATTAGAATTACTCGCATTATCGGATTTAGCCTCTACTCTGTCGCGGACGTTATCGATGGAAAACGTTGCCGAAGCTGAAAAGGGAGAAGCGAAGCGGACGCCCACGCGCGAATAAGCTTTCCGCCGATTTAATCGCCGTGGGTATCCGTTCGCGGATAGGAAACGACGCGAAACGATCGGAAACGATGGGAAACGATGGGAAACGATGGGAAACGATGGGAAAAGATGGGAAAAACGCGATCGGCGATCCACGCGACGAGCATGGGAGCAGAGGTAAAAATCGGGCAAAAAGGCATCGCGCGGAATGCTAAACGAGAAGCGACGTGGCACGATCGGATGAAGCATCGATTTTCGAGCAATCGTAAAAAACGCGAATTCCTGCATGGAACGGAGGGGAGGAAGGGAGGAGGGAGTGGGAAAAGAAGCGGAGAGAACGATGCACGATGAGGCTGCGTCCGCCTTCGTGCGAGGTTTCCGTTCGAGAAACCCTCGGTGGAAACTGACATTAAGGATGCCTAGGACTGCTCTAGGCTTCCAGGAAGGCCAGGCTAGAGTCGTGGCAACCCCGCATAGAGAAGTCCTGCAGACCATGAGTAGACAAACGTGACTAACATTGCGCTCCGTGTATTATCGCGACAACCCCGCAGCAGGCACATACAGGGTGGCCTTTCGCGAAAAGCCCGCGGAACCCGTCGACCTCCTTCGATTCTTCGCGCGAAAACGCGTTCAACGTCGTCCAATCGACGCATGTATCGAGTAGATCGTGCGACGTACGACCGACATTCGTTCAACGTACGATCACGAGGATTAATCGGGTGTGTTCTCGAGATTTTCGCTAGACTTTCGTCAGATCTTTCCACCGGGAGGAGGAAAGCTCGAGGACAAAGTTGGACGATGGATGGATCGAATAATACGCGAATCGCGTGTGGCTGTTCGATTCGACCTGTCCTCCTGCGAGGCGATCCTCTCTGGCATTCCACAATCTACTTCGCGGCGGTACCACATACGGAAGTTTCTACTGAAAGCATCGTTCGCCGTCGTAACTCTACGACATTCCAACGTTTTTCGAAACCTCGTGCGCGCGCGTGCCTGTACTCCGCTCCGCTAGCTTCCTCCTAGGAACCCATCCCTCGCTGATCCGCGCGGGCCCGCTCGTTCCGAAATTCCGTATCACCGGCCGTTCTCGCAGGACCGCGAGGATTCCTGTAACCTCCTCGAACTCGGGCTTCCACCTACGGTGCGGGTAAAAAGCGTTCGGTTGGAGGTCGGTGGAGAGACGCGGGGCCGATCGTTTCTGGAAATTCCCGGCAAAAAGGAGTCGAAAGGCCCGAAACGTATCCGGATTTCTCGTCTCTCCGGTGTGTCCGCCATGTGTACGTAGGAGTAAAGGATCGGCGGTTCTGCGTGTGTGCGCGTGAACGCGGCGGGCCCCGTGTGTGCGTTAATAATGATGACTGACCGACTGGTGCACTAGGTGGGGCAAGTTCACGGTCATGCGTCGTGCATAGCGCTCGGTAGGCACGCGCGCGCGTGCATTTCTGCGTGCATATACGGCCCTGTTCTTCTCTGGCCGCGTGTGGATCCGTTCCTCGCGGGGAGAGGACTTATCTCAGCTGTCTCGTGCACCTCGGCCGACATAACACGCGCGACGTAACGCACCAGAAATGCGCCGCGCGACGCGCACCGACGATGCGCGCCTTTTCGCTCCTCTCTCCTCTTTTTAAATCTCTTCCTCGCGTGATCCACCGCCCCGCGGGGAAATTATCCTCCTCCCGGCCGGATGCACGGCTCAGTTTTTGGTCGGGCCAAGCGTTCCCTCGAAAATACGAGCAATTTGCTTCGCTACCTTCTCGCCGCGGCGCGCCACCGCTGCAACTCGCTCTCGAGACCAGAGGACGACTCGCGATTAGTTCTTCTTTCCGTGATTCAAATTTTCGTTCCTCGTCTCGATCGTGACGCGATTCCACCGCCGCCGAGTGCATATGGATAATTTTCGTCAGCCGAACACGCGACACTAGGCCTCGCGCTCCACGCCCTCGCTCACTCGCGCGCGCACGCGTGCGTATCGGTGTATAGATAGGTTCAAAGTCGGGGACCGCGGTTATTTTTAAGCAAACGTGCACAGGCCGCAACGTCGGAGAAATGCACGTGCTGCACTGGAACGTACGAGTTTCATTATCGATGCGACTCGTGCCGCATTTCGAGCAGCTCGCTCTGTCAGGGACGACATTCCGGAACATTGTCGGTCAAGGGTAAAAAGGAGGCAAGTATACGGAAAATCGGACGGTTGGCGTATCCAGGATTTAGCGGATCGACTTAGCCCGACGAATTGGCCGTTTCGTGCCGACCGCTGCCACGAAGAACGTCCCCCCCCCCCCCCCCCATCTATCGATCTCCTCGAGGAACAGATGTTGCGTGGCCTTCGATCGAAAGTTTCAACGAAGCGGACCGAGAATAAACGCGCCAAGGGTCGCCCCGTTGTCCCAGGCGCAAAAGGGTTCCCAGAAAAGGGCTCGCCCGTGTTTCAGAAAGCGTTAGCCTGCGTGCTCACGATCGAACGAACAGACACGCCGGCTCTGCGAACCTAAATTCGCCATTGACCTTGACTGCCAGGTTCACGCTTGAAAGATCATCTTATTGGCCCGTCCTTTCGTCCCGATAAACGTCCACACGACGAATACATAATGGCCCTCACTGTCTCGCTGTCTGACCCAAAAGTATCGCCGAATCAACGAGAATCGCTCGTCGTTCGCCTCTGCGATCTCGTTTTCATCGAACGGTACCAAAATGGTGACCGACCGGTGCAAATGGTGACTTGCCGTTTCAAAATCGCCGATATCGCGGTGGAATCGTAAAGATCGGACTTCCTTCTTCCCCTTGCGCGTTGCGCCGGTGATGATACGTTAAGTAGCCTAAAATTATAGCGGCAGCCATGTTTGCACGACGCGAGGGGGCCATTCGTTGCATAGTCGCGAACGGAATGAACCCAACGACCGGATATACACGTACACGACTGGGCTACGATTAATAGACGGTTTCGGGACGTCCGATGATACTTTTATCTTCCTCGTCGAATCTTCCCCGGGCAATTTTGCGGGACGGCTGCAAAACACGGGGAGGGGGCGCGCGGAACGGCTTACGGGAAGCCATAAAATCAAATTAAACCGCTCTGATCCGATGGTCGGAGCTTAAACACCGGCCTCTCTGACGAACAATTCGCGTCGCCACGATAAATCAGGGCTTACCTCGGAGACTAGGCTTTTTCGCATCCGCCCGTTTCGGCGGTGTTCTGCTCGCGGGCAACCGCGTCGGGAACGCGAACATTCCTATGCTGACCAACATCAGCATGGCGGATATTAGCACCAAACCTGCAACAATCCAATTAATATTTTTCTCTTCCATATTTTTCTCCTCTATCCCAAATTAAAAACGGGCACAATGGGGCACAGAGGGAGGGAGGGGGGACGATTAATCACGAGACAAAGGCGAAAGGGTTCGTTGTCTGCGGAAAACGCGAGGTTCGTGTAAGGAAGTAAGTAAGAAATTTCAATTTACCAAGCCACCATGCTCCGACCCATCTCGGGTCCGTCGGCGTGATTTGCGGATTCGCCGACAAATCCGCGTAAATCATCGTGCACAATGAGCCCAGAATGAAGCCTAGGGCTGGCCCGAGGATCCTCACTCCGATCGTAATCGCTGTAACAAAATACATCGACGCCGTGTTCCGTGAGTATGCAAATTCTCGACAACTCTGAAATTCTGACGATAACGTAACAATGGACGGAGATAATCGAAGCGAAAGATCGGCGATCGTTCCGGAGACTGTGTAAAAACGAAGCCTCGCAACGATAACGTTTCGCTTCCCAGACCCAACTCCGTCCTCGTTTTTCCATTTCTTCCCCTTTCGTCGCGGTGTAACGCCGGTATACAAGGGACGCGATCCTTACCGAAATAGAGCGGGCTTTCTCTGCTGGCCACATTGTCATCGATGTAAGGGATACCGAGGGTATAGACGGCCGTCTGACCCATTCCAACGCCCAACAGGGAGACGAAAAATATAGCCAGGACCACCGTCGTTATTTTGATCTGTATCCTCTGCTTCGTCAACGAGTCGCCCTCGCAGGAGTTCATCTTGTTCATCGTGGCCGACGTCGTGGACGAGTTCCAGCTTTCGAGAAAAAGAGAATCCACCGTGATATCGGCAGCTCTGAGAAACGATTATTCGATCGCGTGGCTGTTCGACCAACTTCGTGTCGCGATAACGTGGCGTGTTAATTGTTCTTTTTATTCATAAACGCGGAGATCGAGCAAGGCAGGTACGGACACCTAACCCATTTAAAAAAAGGTACGATCGATCGCCACGGAATGGAGGTGGGTAAGGAGAAATGGGTCGGGCAGAAATTGCATAATTTCGAGATCGTAGCACCGACCGACCGACCGACGACGAGACGTCGTTGTCCGCGATTTTTCTCTATTCCTTTCCTTCCTTTTTATTCGAGTCTTTTCTTTCACAAAATTCGGAGAAAAACGCGGAAGCGAAAACGAAGCGAGCAAGACAGAGCACGCGGAAGCGAAGGAGCGAGAGAGAGAGAGAGAGAGAGAGAGAGAAGGAAGCACCGTTTACCTGTCGAGCGTGGCGTTCTCCGATCGATCCTGCAGTTTGCAAAGGTTCGCGGGAATCGGGTCGGTGTTGTTCGGATCGCCACCCTCGACACCGCTGAAAAACATCTCGTTCTGATGGATCAGCTGTTCACCGAAGATGAAATGGGGCATCGAGCAGGTGAACGAGCTCACCGCGAACAGGATCATGCCCCAAGCGATCCACTTAGGCCGGTGACCTTGGCCCCCGTAGTACGTAAGCAGGAGAGAGGAACCGATCTGGCCGATCTCCGTCGCTGACATTATGATACCGGTGGTCTTCGACTGAATCTGGAACAGCTTCTCGATCGTCGTGATCACCGAGACGAAGTACGTGTAGTACATTCCCTGAAGCACCTGCAAAACCCAAACGCAATTTTAACCGTGACCACGTTCAGCAAACTTCCTCTTCTTTTCGAAGAAAATCGAAAGGTTCTCCAAGGGACTCGACATCTCCGATTCGAATCTCGAAGCTAGCCCAAGAGCTGACCAAAAGCTAACCCAAACCAACCCAGGTGATGCAGAAGGTGACCAGGAAGGCCTGCTTCGTGGCGAAATACTGAAGCCAATGTGGCCTGCACGGGCCCCAGCCGCAAGACACGTCGGCGTCGTCGAACTCCGTGTGAAGACTGCTAGACTTCTCGTCGGACATGATTAGCTTGCCGTTTTCCGTAGCAGCGATCTCGTGCAGCTTGCCGTTCGGTATCGAGCCGTTGTTGTTGTGCTGCTTCCCGCAGATCAGCCCATTCCCATTCGCCATCTTCGGCGGGATTATCGTCAGCGCCTCCACGTTTCCGTTCGCCAGGATCTGCGTGTCCTCGCCCGCCATTATATCCCTCGACGATCAATCCGCGCTCTCCTCCACTGCCTCCTCTCGCTTCTTCCTAACCCTCTTCTAGCACCCGTTTGCACCCTCTAGCCGGGATTCTTCCTCGTGGGAGGATCCTCTCGACCGCTCAAACGACTCTCATTCGAACGGTCAACCTGCGAAAAGAATTGTGCGATCAGTGAAGGGAAACGATTCGATAACGACACCGATTTCCACGAAGTCCAAGTACGAATGATATTTTCGTGCGTCAAGAACCGATCACGATATTGCTCGGCATTAGCGATTTATACGAAATCCGCGCATTCGTGTAACCTCGTTCATCGTGTCCGTGTACTCGGTTGGTTTTTAAAGGTCGGCTCGCATAAACGTCATCGATATTTGTTCGCGATTCTCCGTATAACCGCAACGATTTCTCCCGGCGATCGTCGTCGAGGGGGAAAAAAAGGCGGCCGAAAGGTGTCCAGGAATAAATCGTCAAACTCGCGGTCGCGATTTATCATCCGTTCGAGACGCTTTCGAGATGCGCTTCGTATTTTTGAATGTCTAACTTATGTGCGTCACGGCATTATTTATAACGGCGGTGTCTCTCTCCGCAGTCATCCACCGTGTTTCTGCGAAATCGCGATTGGCTTTGTTCCACGGTAAATGAAATTGCGCCGCTTCGCTCGGCCCCCTGGCCAACGGGGAGCAGGAACAATCGACCTGTCGTGTATCCCCCTACGAAATTTCGTAGACTTTCTACGCAACGGCGGAGGCGGTCTCTCGCGATTCTCTAGAAAGTAATCGTCGGACACGCGATCCTGCGCGGGATTCGGTTGCAAATAAAAAGGAGTACAGCGACAGAGATCCTTTCTCCGCCGCGACTCACGGGAAGGAAACAGGCTGGCTGAAACAGCCTGTAGCCGGTGTCCTCTCACTTTCATCGGTGCCCGACTTTTCTCATTTCCCTCGCGTTCCATTGCACCGACTATCCTACCGATGCGGTTTTCACTGACAGTGAGTAGGAGTCTGCGGACTAGAACACGTAGCCAGCCACGCAACGGGTGCTCCGAAAGTACTCCTCGCCGATTTCTCCATTCCGACCGTCTATTTTCAGCGTTTTCCAGAGGTACCCGCGACGCGTTGCAAGCCTATAGCAAAGAAATTTCAAATTCGCCTGCAATCGTCTTCGCGAAGGATGCTACACGTATCGCGCTGTACCTATCGCGTACCAAGGAGAAAATCGAAAAATTCGTGACGAATTTTATTATTTTTCCAGGCACAGGCGTAAGCAAGACGTAGCCCAATTTCCGAGTCGGCCGAATCGGTTTCCTGGCCAACGAGATTTCCCGTGGACGAGGAGAAACGGGGAAAGAGGGGAAGGGACGAAGGGAAAGAAGAAGACCGGGCTGGCAGATGGAGGTACGATTTCGTTAGCGGGCGAAACGATTCGAGAGGCGTCCGGCCAAGAAACTTCCTGTCGAATGGGCTCGCGCATGATAATAAAACGCGAGGAACGGCGCACGAGCAGATTTTATTTCGACGTTAATTGGCCGCGCACGGTAACCGACCCCCGAAACACTGTCCAAGAATACGAATGTGTTTACGGTGCAGTGTCGTTCCGCCGCGCCATTGACCCGTTAATGTTTGAACGTCGCGCGCTGCCAGGGTACCCCCCGTGTATTCCACACGTGTCGAGGGAACAACCTTCCCCGCGCGTCCATTTATTCCACCGGGCCGCTCCCTGCCGTGGCAAACTCGAGATTTCCGTCAACCGGAGCACGCTTTCGACTCTTACCCGTGACCCTGATCGAATTCGACTCTGCTCCGCGAAACGGACGGGGGGGCCCCGGCGACGCCGCGCGCAACCTTGACGCCTAATTCCGTGCAGGAAGTCCAGCGACGATAAATCATGTTTCTTTCGCCAGCCAAACGCCCGGCTCGGCCGAGATAAAAAATTTAATTATCGTCATTAACGTTTGTTTTGACGCGGACTTGTTTCTGCGCGCGGGCTAACGTGTTCCGGGAACCAGGCCTGCGGGACAGTCTCCTCTAATCTCGTGGAATCCTGCGTCGTTAATTCACCCACCGACACCACCGTCCAGTCGCCTCGAACTTCGAACCCCGCCATAAATCGCCGAGCAAGAGACCGACCAACGGAACCTAGGATCCCCGAAAAGAGAGAAAAGAAAGGATTACGTCCCGGCGTTTAGGTTAACGCGTTTTTCACTTAGACCCCGATATCTGCGCGTTCTACCCGAAAAGAGATAAAATCTGGAACGGGGGGACGGGGCGTTTAATCACGGCTGCCAGCAGCAGCGAATTGGTCAAGCGAAATTCCCCGCACACATCTTCGGCTGCGATCGGAACGAAATCGAAAGGGCCCCGGGAGAAGAGCGTGTCTCGGGCTCTCTCGTGCCGCGTTCTCGATGGCGAAACTCCCGTGGCAGTTGCCTTTTTGCCGATCGTAAATCCTTTTCGGACAACACCGGCTCCCGAAGTGAAAATCTTCGCGGCAATGGCCGATTCCGGCGCACCGCGCGCGCGCGCAGGATGCCCCGTCGATGAATCACGTGTCGCCGAAATCTACCGTTTTAATCGTTTTCCAACCGATCCTATCCGCGCTTTTTTCCCCGGCAATCGGCTTATGAATATTTATCGCTCGACTCTGCCATGCCGGTCTTCACCGGCCCGACCTTTCCTCCGCAACCTGCGCGTCCACGGTGTGCAACAGTTAGATATTTTTCTTCCTCTCGCTTCTTTTTCCTTTCATTTCTTCACTTTTTCATTTTTTCCCACGAACGAGAAGGATCCTTTCGGGATGTTATTTCAAACGAAACGGTTTGTTTATCGCCAGCGGAACGAGGATAATTTTAGGCCAGCAATTCGGTCTTGGCTTCTTCGACTCTATCCGTCAGAGATTTATCGCTCGACGCGTAACTCGTTTTTCCACCGGCGAAGAGGGGGAAGATTTTCGAAATTTTCGAATAGCTGGAAGAGGATGGTCCGTTGGGAAAGCACGAGCGCTTTGGGATTTGAAACGAGTGCCAAGGCTCGGAATCCGTGAACGGTAGGCCGAGGCATCGGCGCGATTTCTCGCGCGGCCAATTAGGAATTCCTCTCGCATCGGGATTTCGTTCGGGATGTCATAGGCTGCCGATGGAACCAGCTATGATGCAACGAGAAAAGAAATTTCCGGTAATAAATTGCCGTGGTATGCTGCCGTAGGCTTGAATGGGGACTCAAATATCTCGTAAGAGTTCTCTCGCTGGGAGCCCACGTGCGTGCTTCGCGGCGATAATACTTGCCAGCCGCTATTATTCTTATTATTCGATTATCGATCTTCCGTTGCTCGTCGAGACATCCTTTTCCTCCCATTTACCCGACTAATCAACATTCAAACGTCCCAGCTAATACCACCTCTTCGCGCTTAATCGAGGCTGGAGAACGCGACGCGTATAATGCCCCTTCGAATTACCATTTTTCACACGCGGTTCGGATACACGACTGTTCCGAACGATCTGGGATCGATCGTTGGCAGCGACGAAGATCGGACCTCTGGACGGGGCGGAGGCGATGGAAGGGCCGAGAATCGACGCAACGCGTCCCGATTTCGTCGGTATCGGGACGGAAAGATCGGCTCGCCCGCGGAGATGCGATACACGAACACCTGGACACCGTGACGGCACGTACGTGCACGAAAACAGCGGCGTTCCTCGTCAAGTTCCAACAGCGTTGCGCCGGAGAGACTTGGTCTAGGTCGCCTTTCACTGTCCTACTGACGTCTCGTGGTTAGTTGGTTAGTTGCTCTATTCTACTACGACTACGACTCAATGCCAGCGTGCACGTTGTCGTACAGAGCGACCCAAAAGAAACTACCGGCTCGGAAGGCCGAGCACGTGATTGGACGAGGGGGGGGGGGGGGGGGGGGGGGAACAAAATCTTGCGTTCGACTATCGAGAGAAAGAGAGCGAGAGAGAGGCCGGAGAGCCGAGGTTTCACGGTTGTCGAAAACGTCATTTTTTCCGCCGATCCACGCGTTTCCCCGATAATTCTTTGTATCTACAATCAGCGAGCGATGAAAAGGGAATTAATACGGGGGAATATGGAAGACCCTTTGGTCCGCGCGTCCTCGACGCGAAATAAAGAAAGCAATTTCCTTCGGGTGGCCCTCGAACGCTCGTCAAAATGCCTGGCAGTGTGCAAAACAGGCTGCATTGTGACGCGTTCGCCAATCGTAGTCAGGAGCGATCGGCTCGCGGCGTAAAACAGCCTACGAAGAACCGTACGAAGGTCTGACAGGACGAAATCGAAGGAAGGAACGTGGACGAGGCAAAGAACCTCGGATCCTTCCGCGTCGAATCGTCGTGTCAGCCTTTGTCTCGACAATGCCGAGTGTCCTGTATCCATGGCACACTTTTTACCACCCTTTCACGGTCAATTGCCCTTTTTAAAACAGCTTTTTACCGGGCCGTTCGACGCGTGTGTACAGAGAGAGAGGACCGTCCCGACAGACCGTGCACCCTGGTCTCATCGACGTTTCCACCGTCCGTTCAATCCATCCACGGGGTGGAAAAACCCTCCGTCGTCTGGCTTTTTCTCGCTGGAACCCCGTTTTCCCGATTTCGCATTCCCGATCGCGTGTCCGGTAAGAGGGGTATCCGGCAACGTGTCCGTTACGCGTCCGAGATGGACGCTTTGAAAAATTCTGCCACGGACGAGAGGGAGAGAAATTTCAGCTGGACAAAGGCGCAATGGCGCGAGACGAGGCGCGAGCTGGCGCGCACCCCGCCGCGGGCCCTCGCGAGGCGCGGTTCCGCTTCTTTTCCTCCCGTCTCGATCAACCATCGATCGTGACATTTCAGTTTTCTTCGGCTGAATCTATTCCCCTTATATAAGCCCGAGTGTCGTAATAAATCGAATCGACTACTCGATGACTTCTACGAAACTTATACTCGCAACGATCCTACTATATTTCTCGTCCTTCTCGCGGCGTCTGTCCTCGTCCGCGCGGGGAATTAAAGCGAGTAAACGGCGACGAAAGCGTCGAGCAGTTTCCCACTTCTCGAGCGATTCACTTTCGATCGGCAGCTCGGTCGCGGGGAACGCGTGTCGCAAATCTTTGCAAATGCCCCCAAGAAAGTAAGTGGAAAGCAGCGAGATTTATATTCTACTT